TATAGATAGTCCTTTGTTTAATGACCTTAATTTGAACCATTTACTTCACCACTAAGCAAAACAGTCACTGTGGGAAATCATATGATTGCGGTTGTGCTTCTGTCTATTCAGTTTCACACTTACGGCTTTTATTTGCCTCCTAACTACTTCCCACCATTGGAATGCTCAAGTGCCTGCTTACTGCCTTGCACGTATCAAAAGCATTGTGATTGTGATGCAGCCTGAGGCTAGGAGGAGAATTTAAAGAAAGTTCTGTAATGGGCTAGAATTCTCACACACACATGAATTTTTTTTTCATTCTTAAATAAATTAGCTATGTTAGTATTTCAGGAAATATTTGTTGAAAGTTTTGTCCATAATCTAAAAATAGCTAGGCAAAAGCCTCTTATGGAGAATTTGTTGAATGTTTGCTTGCTTGCTGCTAGTTTGCTTGCTTGCTTGCTTGTTAGCTTGCTAGCTAGCTTGCTTGTTTATAACATTAATTGGCTGCCCATCTTACCATAGGGTAACTCTGGGCAGCTTCAGTTACATATACATAAAGCAAAAACATAAAAAGTTGAAATCAGATTTTAAAACCAAGGACACATGGGGAAGGCAGGGGTGGAGTGTGAGGAGTTGGGATCTGTTATTACTCAATCAACCATCTCCATTGTTCTGAGGTCCCAAGAGCCACGTCTTAAGGTCCTTACAAAAAGATAGGAAGGATGGGGCCAACCTCACGTCAGGGGGCAAGATGTTCCAGAGAGCAGGAGCCACAGTAGAGAAGGCCCTCCTCCTGGACCCTGCGAGCTGTAATAATTGGGCTGATGGGGCTTGCAGTATGCCTCCTCTGCCAGCACAAGTAGTACAGGCCAGTCCCAGTGGGGTGAGATGGTCCCTCAAGTAACCTGGAGCCATGCCATCTCAGTCCCTTCCCAGGGCAAATACAGGTAGCCCTTGACTTACGATCAAAATTGAGATCAAAAATTCAGTTGCTAAGCGAGACACTTAAGTGCATTTTGCCCCATTTTATGACCTTCCTTGCCACTGTTGCTAAACGAATCACTACAGTTGTTAAGTTAGTAACTTGGTTGTAAAATGAATCTGCCTTCCCCATTGACTTTGCTTGTCGGAGGGTCTCAAAAAATGATCACATAACCTTGGGACACTGTAGTTGTCATAAGTATGAGCCAGTCGCCAAGTGTCCAAATTTTAATCAGGTTACCTTGGGGATGCTGCAATGGTTATACGTATGAAAAACAGTCATAAGTCACTTTTTTCCAGTGTTGTAACTATGAACAATAACTAACAAAAGTTGTAAGTCGAGGACTACCATACTTACTTTAGAGATTCTTATGGGAAGGTGTAAAATATGCAAGGTTGAAAGAGACCAGATTGATTGCTATAAGTGTAGCTGGCACATAGACTTAACTGCTACGCTTATCTAGGGTTACCAGTGGGAGAGATTAAGCAGATAAAATACTGTATTGGTGTGCTTCTTCAGTTGCTACAATGTATGGATTTTCAAAATTTCTTTTGCAGTATAAAATATTAGAAATATTTTGATATTAAAATTAAGTTTCTCATAATTAATTTTTTATCTGAGAAAAAAGTACTTTGATGAGGTACTTTGCTTTCATGCTTTGCTTTATTGAAATTTTAAATTGTGTTCCCAAAAAATATAATCATATCTTGACTTATTTTTTTATCAGTTTTATAGTATGTTAAATGGTAGAGACATTGCAATCTTTGGCTTATTTTTTCTAAATACTTTTCTTTGATAGTTAATACCTGGAAAATTGATTACATATTATTAATTGTAATATAAATGAGTAGTCACAGTGTAATGTAAAACGGATTTGTTTTTTACAGACTTAAACAAAAAACTATAGTTACAGCAAACAAATGATAAAAATAATATAATAGTAACAATAATAATTTAAATCACAAATGATTTTAGGGCAACTATTTGGATTTTAGTTTATATGACATGTTACTTTCGTATTTCAGATATGAAAGCTTTTGAATGATTTGAAATGGATTATATACTTATTATTGGATTATATAAGGAAAACCGCTTCATTTTATTAAACTCTAATTTACCCAAGTTAATATTTCATTTATTTGCATATCTTACATGCCAAAGATAAATTAAAATGTCACCTCATATTAAATTAATTCCTTACCCTTTACTTTCCTATGCAAACAAGTAAAGCACCATCCATAGGATCCACGAAACCACGCCTCTTCCAATCCACAGAAAAACCTCTTTCCACAGAACCAGTCCCTGGTGCCTAAAAGGATAGGAGCTACTGCTTTATCTTAACCTCATGTTGATTATAAGTACAAATAGTCCTTTGTTAATGACTACCTTATTCAGCAGCAGAACTTAGAACTATCCTGAAAAAGTAAGTTCATGAGTGATTCTTGAATTTATACCTGTTGCAGCATTCCCATGATCAAGTGATCGTGATTTTGGCATTTTACAACAGGCACACAATGATCGCCATTTGCAGTCTTATAGTCAGCTTCCAACAAGGAACATCAATGGGGGAGCCAACAGTAATTTCCAAATAATTTCCAAATCATGGTCACAGGAATTTGACTTAATGACCAAGTGTCATTTAATGACTAGAGCAGAACTGAACCTGTAAGTCAGGCATGGTCAAGTGATGTTATACTTAACAACTGTATCACTTAGCAATGGAATTACCAGTTCCAATTGCTTTCATTAATTGAGAAGTCCCTGTATTTCTACATATCCAGTTTTGTGTACACTTTTTTGAACAAATGCAATCTTAAATTTGACCTCTTTTGAATAAATGTAGTAGTCTTTAACTTTACAGCTTTACAATCTAAGGAGCAACTGAGCAACTGAGTGAATAGAAAAGCTTAATTTTCATATCTATCTTAATTTTAAAGAAGTAGTTATAATTTTTATCAACAGGATGGTATTTTTATGTATATATATGAATTATGCTTTTCAAGAAAAGCTCCAGCCTGCCATGACTATGTATATGTACTGATTAAAAAAAACCCAAATAAGACTAGTAGCTGTTTATGAATGAGAAAAAAATGGTGTAGCTTGTGACTATCCCACTGAGATTTTCTCCTCATATGTATCTTATTGATAAAGTGCATAATCAGGAGAGCTTACATCCATCCTCATCATCAATACTGTGTCCTGGAAGCCAATGTTTACAAATAATTTCTATATATTTTTGAGTTTGTATATATGAAATGATTAGAGATGTATATTTTATTCTGAATTTTGAAAAAAATAATCTTACAGGTCTCTAGCAAAGTGTTCTGGATGTTCCAAAAGAACAAAACTCAAAATGTTTTTACTGTATTTTGTTTTTAGTATCTCATTATAGCAAATAAAGGAGCTTAATATTTGGGGCCCTTATTTTCAGTCTTAGAATAAGTAGGATGATAGTACACGCTGAATGCTATTATTCAATTCGTAGAAAGGATATGATTTAAATACAATTTCATAATGGAAAAAATGGAAACAAACATGTTTTTTACAACTTGTCTTTGTCAAAACAGATGTAGATATATTAGCTAGTGTGCTCTTCAGCAAATATCTGACTTGCAGATAGTTGCAAAAAAAAATGAGGTTTTAGTTGCTGTGAACAAAATGCACAGAACTCAACTTTATAGCACCGTTATGCATTTATTAAAAATTGGACATTACTATGCACATTCCTTTTTAAAACTGTGAGACTATTGGTAATATTTTACAAATGTTTAGTGACTGAGAAAAAAAATGCCAGTCAAACTTATTTTCTCTTTTTAATAATATAGAAACCTATCAATCAATATTTGAAATTATTTTTAATTTTCTGATGAATTTATGAAAATATGTAGCATGTTTATATCTAACTGAGGATTTAGATCCAGTCTATAGAAGATTCAGTTTTTGGAAATTATATAAGAATCAAAGGGGCATATAGCTATCAGATGTGCTTTTGGAAAGATCTATAAAAAAGTCCAGTGTAAGGTTCTACTTATTCTTTACAAAGAGCATTGTAGTTTTACATTTTAGTGCTCAAATGCTGTAGCATAAAAAAAAAGTCTGGGGAAGTATACTCTATGATTAGTTAAAAAAAATTTACAATAGGGATATATCCGGCTTCCCATGATAACAAGCATGATTTTCAGTGCTGGGCAAGGTTTTGGAGCTATCCAAATAAACATTGCCCAGTAATTTACTTCCTTCATTAAGAAGAGGAGTAAGGTTAGTTTCTGCATATATGACCAATTTCTATTACCTATTTAACAATATATCTTTATTTTTAAGATACCTAATATTTATAGACTCCAATAAAAGCTCATTTTAACAAAATAACAGTTGGAAGGCTCCTTGGAGATCTTTTAGTCCAACCTCCTGTTCAAACAGGAAACCATATAACATTTGAGACAAATGATTGTCCAATCTCTTCATTACATTTAACAAATAAGTCCATTGAGTGCACCACAAAAGGATAAATTTGTTCTGAACATTTTTTAAATTATACATTTTTAAAATTTATATTTTCTTTTCTTTCTTAGTTATAATATTATAACCATAGATATTTATCCCACCTTCATGCATACAGTATTACATAAGCATTGTATTTTTTTGGACCTGAACCAGTTTTATAAACTAATATGTATGCTTTTATTAGAGCACTGTAGAAAAGTAATTTCTATTATTTTTATCAGTCACAATATAAGATAAATTCCTTTTTTGTATTTACATTTTTATAATTTTATATGCAAAACTTGTTCATAATGATGTTCTCTGTATGTTTTATGTTTTAGGATATTTTTTTAAAATTCAAATTCTGAAAACAAAAAAAAAATTGTCAGAAAATATGATCCCAGAATCTGAATAAAGAGGAACATCATATATCCCTATTAATCCATAATAAATATGAGAACTGTGTGTTGACTTCAATCCACCCAGATTTCAACATTTAATTATTGCACAAATACATTATTTATCATCTGTATTGTTTTCTTTTTTTTCCCAGTCTGCTGCTGAACAAGCCAAAGCTAGACTACAATTGGTCCTTGAAGCTGCTGGTAAGTAAGGCAATGAAAATATTAATTAAAAAAATAAAGTAAGATAGGTTAATGTTTACTTCAACAGCCACATTACTTATGTTTGTTATTGTTATATAGTTAATAAGTCAGCCCTGGTATATTATATGATTAATTACTGCCTTTCAGTATCGAGACAGGTGTAACAATTCATTTGAAAAAAAGACAGTGCCAAAATATCCTAAAATTAGTACAAAGGAAAACTCTTTGTCAAATCCATAATATATTGTTTGCTTTATTTACCTAACCTATTCCAAATTGGAATAAAATTCCAATTTTATGCTAAAGTTTTGTTTGCTTCATCCAGTATCAAGACTTTTTTTGTTTTAATTTTAGATTCATTTTTAACTTGAACCTCAGGATGAAATGATAGTTTAAAATATCCTGTTTTTCAGAATATTATAGATTCCATGAGTTTTATCCATTTGGATCAGATACATAGTTTCTAAAGATTTCAGATTCTTTCAATACTGTAATATTTATTTATACTTTTATTTATGAAGTATATTTGTATATTCATATAGAATGTTGCTATATTTTCATTAATGATAAAAAATTGAACTTGTGTCTCTAATATATATATATAAACTTGCTCCCTTTTTATTAGCATTTTGGAAAGATTAAGAACATTACAGATGTAAATAGTAATATGTTAATAGTAATACATTTTTAAAAATCAGTGTTTAAGAATATATTTTAAAGCATATTTTAAAATATATAAACAGTATTATGTCTGGTATTTCTTTATTTTGAATTCAAAAGGATTTTTAAAATATTATATTTATGTTGCAATTATGTATTTCACTGAACTTTTGCTTTCAAAAAGTTTTTTATATAAATTATATTACATGTTTGTATAGATTACATCATTCTTAACATTTTTAATGTTCTTCATAGTTTTCATTTTATTTACAGATTATATATTTCTTTATATAGGTAGAGAAATAACTAACCAAATAATTTGTTTAAAAGAAGCAATTTTATATCCTTAAGAACTTCCTCTTTATCACTAATCATGACATATTTGAGTGACTTTATTTACTTATTTTTTTAATAGAATAAATAAGTGTTGCATTATTTTAATACAGTTTAACAATATCACAGCAATGTGCTCTCTTTGAGCAGATGTTAAGCAGGCAGTTCCTGAATGTTAATTCTGAGAGGGTGGTATGTTTAAGCCTATCTAAAATATGTTGCATGGGGGCTTTCTAGGCTTAGTTACAATGCTGTCTCTCTTGGGAGAATTTTAAAGCTAAACCTCTTTCTTTTTGTCACTCTATATGGACTCTCTCAAGTCAGTATAAAGCAGATCATCCCTAGGCTAAACCTCTTCAGCTTTTGTTATTGGGCTCTGTAGGCCTGTAATTAGGCCTCCTGGTAGGCCTTGCAGCCCAGTTAATGGTCATATGGAGTTTCTGTGAGGCAGACTGGCTTTGTATAAATCCTTCGCTGGAATATATTTATGGGTCACTTCATACCAGGACTGTGTTTTGTCCTTGTGCCCTATAGGCTGACAAGGAACTGGTTCCCTTGACCATGGACAGCTCAGTTTGCTGCTCATAGTCTACTCAACTAATCCCCAGTGTAAACAGAGGATTTAGCGTGGCTTCTGTCACTTACAGTTGCCAAATCACTTGGGTGTCTGTGATTTCTTTTCCAGCATTAATTATTGAATGATGGAGAACAGTAAAAGGTTTCATGGTTGTTTGTACATTAAATATATTCTTCTTGTCTCAAATACTGACAAGACAGTATTCACAATATTAAATACTTCATCCCAGTAGAAATGCTGCTAGTTCAAAACATACTTGAATAATCCATATTTTAAATGAATTTTAAAAATGTATACTTTACAAACATATTTTATGTGAATATTTCTAAATAATTAGTTTCTGCTAATCGTATAAAAATATTGTCTAAAATTTTCTATGCTGCAAAGATTCTTTTCTACTTATAAGAACAATTGCAGAAGTTGATTGATATGTGCTTTCAAAGTCCTGAGTTGAAATGACTGTCTGATCTGCATGTGGAATCTGCATTTCAAACCTGTTTCTAAAAAAGCATGCAAACTACTATATTTTAAAGATAGAATTGTTGATGGCTTAAAGCAGACCTCAAAATAGAGTTGTTAATTTGACATTAGCAATATGTGATAAAAACTGATGGAATAATTATTTATGTTTTATATATAATGGAGTTGTTTGACAGTTTATCTGAATATTTAGCTGTTTAACTCATTATGTTCTGATTATACAGCCAGTTCACTTAGTTGTACATCACAATTATTTTTTAAAAAATTCTCTGTAAATGAATTGGATAGTAAAAGACAAATATATTAATATTAGATGTTGCAAATGCACATTTTTCCTATGATTTTCTTCAACATTTCATTAGAGTATGATAAATCTGTATTTGCTCAGTCTTATATGATAAGTGGTATACAGTGTGTGGGGCTAAGATGTTTCATGACAGATGTGGCTGAGGAGACCACATACATAGAATATATGATTTTAGTCTGGTGGAACTAATAGGATCATTCATTACTTTACAGATCTTTCCTTTTTTGTTTCTTTAATGAAAATTGTTTAGTTAAATAGGGCAGTCTTTTAGCTCAGTGCTTAGTAACTGTGCAAAGCCAGTTTTAAGATCAGCTGGGAAGAAATAAAATATTACAAATGTCCATTTAAATAGTATATATAAGAAATGATTAATTTAAAAAAGAGTAGTATGAGATTGCTTATATTTCTATAATATTGTCTTTAATATTAGCTCTATTTACATTCATAGGGCTACTTCTTAGGTTTTCTTTGGAAGGTAAAATTACCACAAAGGGAGAGTGTGCACTTCTTTCAGTAATTTACATTATGAAAATAATATAATAATATAAAACCTATATCAATAATATTAATAATGTTCTGTCAAGTCCTTGGTTTATATTTAAAAGTTTTTATATGTATTGAGATTTTAAAATCTTCCCTCTAATTTCCAGTGATTTTTTTTTAGTGATACTAAAAAATTGCTGGAACAAGAAATTGGCAATATATTTTGGATGTCTTAGAAGAGAATATCATAGATCAGAGTTGAACTGTGACATTCTTGGTGCTCTTTTTTGCTTGCAGACATAGGAAATATCATTAGTGTGAGTATGGAGTTTGTTGCATAGTAGTGGGAATCATGTGAAATAAAAAGCATTTTTATCTCCCCGTCTCCCTTTTAAGACATAACGGCTTCCAAAAAATAAACATTTTGCCTATTTGGGATGTAGCTATCAGGTGCAAGCAACCAGATCCACATGTTTAGAGTTCAAGTTAACTAGTTTATGGTAGCAGTCCCCAATCTTTCTGGCTCTATAGACCAATGTGGTGGCCTGTGGGGGAGAGGGGGAGGGTTGCACCACTTACACAAATGCAGCGTTGCGAGCTCACATCCTCGCCTGCCACTTGCATGGCCTGGTTTCCACTGGGCCACAGCCCAGCACTGGACCAGGGGTTGGGGATTCCTGCTTTATTGCATTCTGCCTATAATACAGGAATCTCCCCAGATTACTTGCCTTCTCTTGGGAAGAAAACAGATAAGGTCCCATAGGTTAATTCCTCACTTGATCCATCCTCCTCATCCAGCTGGCAGTTTCCAACAATAGTTGACCTAATACTTTCTTATTTATTTATTTGTTTATATTTATATTCTTTTTTATAAATAACTCAAAGCAGCAAACATACCTAATATTTTTTTTCTCCTATTTTTCCCTCAACAACAACCTTGTCAGGCTGGGCTGATAAGACAGTGACTGGCCCAAAGTTACCCAGCCATATTTCGTACCCAAAGCAGGATTAGAGCTCAAAGTCTTTTGTTTTCCAACCTGGCACCTTAACCAAAATATCTAACAGGTGAAAAACAACCAGTATTTCTTCATCTGAGCTGATGTATAGCTGAACCCTGAGGTAATATGGGCAATCTATGAATTTTATAAATAAATAAATAATAACCATATTTCCCAAGTTTTGTAAATAATGCCAAATAAGAATCTAATTCATTATTCTAAAATATTGTATTTAAAAGGGTGGGGAAAGCATAGGTGGAGAGTTTGAAGAACCTTTTAATTAACTCTTGTGTTATTTAAATTTGATTCATTTTAGTAAATGTTCTCTAATTGATTATATTTATCATGCATCTTTTATCTTCCAGTCTTCATTTAATATATAAGGTGAAATCTCTTGAGTTTTCTGTTCTTCTTTGTCCAAGATTCCCTAGCAACTGATAACTTGTTTAGAGATAAGGACGAAATGTCCATTTGTATCTTGTCTGCCATACATATACTCACATTGTCCTTTCCTAAAACAGATTCCTTACATTTATTTGTGCCATTTCCTTTTTGCCCTTCCAAGCATACTCCTTGCACATCCCACTGAAGGTCAAATGTAGAAATAGCCCACCTTTTGCAATGACCTTAAGTCTGAACATGGTAAGTTCCTGCATGTGGGCTGTAAAATATCCTGGATTGCTGCCTCCTCTCCTTAGTACTACCATTTCTCATGAACCAGGTCAGTCCTGATAGAAAGAACCTGCAGGTGGACTAGTTTACCCTGTAATAAAATGTAATTATAACAATGTTTTAAAAAGGTTGTGTTGTTGCCTGTACAGTTTTCTTGTTGTTTCCTAAAAGTTATTAAAAGTTTTCTTCTTCCTTGATAACCTCTATAAAAAACCCCCAGTAATATTTGTTCTCAAAACTATAAGTAAAAGGCAATATGCTACTTCCTTCATTCCAAAAGAAATAAATAATAAAAGTGATTATATGCAAAAATCTATGTTTCTTTCCATTTGGAAGGAGGAATAAAAATAATAGTTCCAACTTAGGCTACATAAAGTCACAGAGAAGACTCTGCAGAAGAACCTTCATTTTTTTTCTTCAGTGTAATCAGTCAACTAACAGTAAACATTCCAACATTTCTTTTTATTTTATTTTCTTTTTTGCAATTTGA